GGCAGCCGCTGCTGGGGCAGGGAGGGGGCCCCGCTGCTGTCCCCGAGCTCAGAAGCTTCCAGCAGCGTGAGCTGTGCGTGGGAAGGCTCCTGCGAGGGCTCCCACAGGCGCAGCCCAGGCTCAAGGGCAGCTGCCACGTTGTGTTTAACTGCTGCCTACACGTGAATAAATAATAGAGTCGCCCACGCGTCTGCCTGGGGTTCTCACGAGGCTGAAGGAGCTCGCTGTGCAGATCCTCACAACGGGTTGGACACAAATCATCACGGTTAGGACCTGCCGCTTGCAGAGGTGCTCTCGGGCTGCCAGCCCTGCCAGGGCTGCTATAAACATCAAATACATGTGATGAGAAACTGTTACTATTTTTATCTTTTCAAATTCCAGGGCTAGTAAAGCAATTCGAAGGTCACAAGAAGTGCACCAGTGCAGTGAAGGACAAGGCTGTTCAGAAAGCAGGATTGACCAACATAAAATACCCAGAGTGGGTTCTGTGTTGCCCATCTGCCCTGTTTTGCTACATTAAGGAATAACTCGAATCTCTGGGCACCTGAGATTTCAAGCACAGCCCAGATGAAGCTTGAAGCATAAATACAAGCAGCCATGTTGCCACATCACTTGCTCTAAGCAAATGAAAGCAACATAAGGAAGGAGATGTGTCATAACAACACTGTTTACATCCTCCCACCTTCCAGCAATCGCTGCTACAAGGCTTTCCTGAGACAAAAATAATGTAACTATTTGATGGCCATTTCTTCCCACTTTTGTTCTACTTATGCTCTTAGCTTCTAAGACACCATGAAAATGTGTTGCAGTTTTATTGTTCACTTCATTTTCAGCACGTTGCCTGTCAAGAACAAGCAGCTTGAAACAAAAACAATTATTAGAAATGGTGAATAATAATTTTCTATTTATTTATAACCTTTGTGGACATGAATATATTCCAAGTCCCTTCCTCTGTAAATGAAGCCACAGCCTAATTATTTCTCCTTTAAAAGCAATTCTGTGCTTCTGATTATCCTTGCCACATTATCTTGATTCTCTTTACTGACAATAAATGCACACAGATTTACATCATGAAGCCATAAATATGTTTTTGATCTGTTGTGTATTATTTTCTAATGATTGGTTGGTTGTTTGGGGTTTTTTTGAGGCTAAGAATGGAGTAAGGTTTTAAAATAATATATTACTCGATATTTCCATGGTCTCTTCCTCAAAACTAACACCTTATTTAAGCTGATCTTTGCTTATGCACAGTTTGTTCCCCCCTGATCAGTCACTTTTTCTAACTGTTAATTTTTTCTTTGGGTAGCACTCCAATTTGGTTAGGTCCCTTAGTACTATTCCCTGCAAATTTCTTATAGGGGATACTCTCAATTCCATTTTTTAGCAGGAGTAACTGATTTGATATGGCTTGTTAAAGGTTTTTCTCCCAAAATCCACCCTGTAATGCTCTACACCT